TATATATATATATAAAGATAGATAGATATGAATTAGTGTACACACATACAGTATATTGACTGTTGACAAATATGATGCAGGGCAACAACTCCATAAATGCAGTTATGCCCAAAAATTCAAGATATTGGTGCAAAAATGCCCCTGTATGTGTTTTTGTCTCATATTTATACCAAACGATATCACATGAGCAGGGAGAGCAGTAGCCTATTACACGAGTGCTGATTTTGTCCTGAATATCACAAGTTTAAATGTGATTTTATACAAAAGTTCAGTAAATATTAAGTTGATATTGTGTAATATTTTAAATGCAATATTATCTGTTTTTGTTCAATTTTGCAGAGAACATATTACCTTTAAAGACATAGCAGAATTGTTGTGCGTCTGTGAGCAACACAGCGGTGTTTAGTTTCTGAATGAATCCTCATTTTGAATGAATCTTGTGAACCAATGATTCAAAGGCCCATTCATAGAGAGAGCCGTTTACTTCATTCCTGAATGAATCAGCCATTTGAAAGAATCAAATGAATGAATGACACATAAAGACATTTACCGCCACTGGCAGATTTAGTTTCTTATTTGGAGTATAATTTCATTAAAAAAAAATAATAATAATAATAAAAATAATAATAAAACATTAAAAGGATAGTTTACCCCCAAAATGTTCAATTCTATAATCATTTACTCACCCTCATGTCCTTTCAAACCTTTCTTTTGTGGAACATAATGTTGGTAACAAAGCTGTTTTGGTTACCAATGACTTTCTTTGTATGAACAAAAAATACTGAGATGTTTCTCAAATTATCTTCTTTTATGTTTCATAGTTTATGTAGCCTAAACATTTATGTGTAATACATTTTATTTTGAATCAAATAAAATATTTATTTCTAAAGCCACAATTTGTAATGTATACTTTCTCATTTAACACAATAATGGCTTTAAATGATCTGGGTATTGTCACAGTCAAATTTAATTTGCGATTAATTAGATTAATTAATTAAAAAAAAAATTTAAATAAAAAAAATAAAAATAAAAAATTAATTAACAGCCCCAATTTTAATATGTAATTTATTCCCATGATGGCAATGTTGAATTTTCAGTAGCCATTACTTCAGTCTTCAGTGTCACATTAATCTTTAGAAATCATTCTAATATGCTGATTTGCTACTCAAGAAACATATCTTATTATCACTACTGAAAACAGATAAATAGAAAGTTAAAAAAGAACAGCATTTATTTGAAATATATTTTTTTTGTAGCAAAGTAAAAATCTATACCATCACTTCTGACTGATTTAATGCATTTTTACTACATCTTATTTGGATCTTCAGACACTGATCAATTATAATATTGTCTGGCTTTACACAATTTATAGGAATCAGCATGCTGAGGTTTTTATTAGTCATGTTAGTACTAGGTTAGTGAAATGTGAGTTTCTGAGAAAGAACTAGTGGTTGTGCCAAAGTTAATAGGACAGGAAATACTATTTAATATTCCACAATGACTTTTTTTGTAAGAATATTTAAGGTAAGAAATAATTAAACCTATAGTTTAGATTAATTTATACTTCAGTAATATTGTGCATATCACTATTTTTATTTAATTTGTAATTTTGTAATTTTTATTGTAATTTATAATAAATAATAAATAAAAATAAATAATAAAATGTTAATATTTATTTTAATATTTAAAAAAAAGGATGTTCAATTGCTTTATTTTTCTCAATGGTGTCAAAATTATTTTCAAGAATTATGAAGAATTATTGTTATTGACTACTGCAGTTTACAATGACAACCCTATTTGGTTACAACTGTATTTATCTGGTCTGCATATATTTTGCACTGCTTTATCTGCACACACCTGATCTGCATGCCCTTGCTCCAGGAGCACATGTCTTTACGCAGCAGCAGATTGTTGAGGGTGACGGCGCCGATGACGTAGAACTGCTGCTTGACCACCTGTTTGATGAGCTCTGGGTCGGTTCCATGCTGACACATGATGGAGTGGAAGGAGTTGAGCTGCCGGATGATGGAGTCCAACGTGTATGTCCCCTCATCAGCGATACTGGACGTCCTCTTACGGAGACCCGTGGGCTTCACCCCGGACACACCCTGGATGGTTTCATGCTCCAGCATGCCAGAGACTACAGAGAGCAACCGACAGAGGGATAAATACACAGCGAGAGAGAAACAGATGGATAGAACGGCACCCAGAGGTCACATGCTCACCGATCATGGGCTGCAAGATGTTCTCCATACACTTGATGAGCTGCTGGTAGATCTGAATGGCCAGATCACTCAGAACCTGCCGGTACTCGGCCAGGTCAAAGTTGGAGAGACAGTGATCGTTCTGTTTAGGAGTGTTATGCTTCATGAATTGCTGGAGAGAGAGGAAGGACAAAGTGTTGATTCTGTTTGAAAAACACTGGACACAGAGAGAATCTGTGGCTACATATACATTGAAGATAAGGTCATCACTGGGTAATGTACAGGATTCCCAGAGTTTTCAATGACTTTTCCCAGACACTTCCAGCTGTTTGTGATTACCCTTACGGAAATTAACCATGGTTTTATTATAGTAAAATTGTAGTAACCATAGTTTTTTGGCGTATTGACTACCATTTGTATAACCACAGTTTTACTACAAATACCATGGTTAGTGTTGCAAAACCATAGTTAATTTGTGGTTACCATGGTTTAACTATAGTAACCATGGTTTTTTGGTTTTATTTGTAGTAAAACCATGGTTAATTTTCGTAAGGGTAAACAAAACGCTCTCTCAAGATAAGAAATTGTATTGTGCTTAAAATTATGGGCATTTTTTTAGAACTATTTAATTTTTTTGGACACTATCTTTGTGTATATAAAATGATTCTATTCATGGCTTTAGAATGTTTCACCAGCTACAAATGGCTTTTTGTGACTATAATCACTATCAAATAATAAAAAATCTCCATCCATTAAAAGCAAGAGCTTAAAAAAACAAACAAAAGAATCTCTTGACTACATTCACTAACAATTAATGCAAATTTGTCTCATATTCAAATAGATCACATTAATTCACCATGCAAACCAACAGAAAGCTGCTTGGTTTAAAAGGGCCCTCAGTGTGCAAAGTAAATTTTTACTGGAGTTTTATTTTTTCAGTCCACAGTCTTTTGACTAAAATGTAGTTTTAGTCGTATTAGTCAGCTGATTTTTTTGTTTTAATTTAGTTTTAGTTGACTAAATATCATAAGTACTATATTCTACTGTTTACTGTAAGGCATCAATTGAGCATTTCTCTAAAATTTCCAAACTCATTATAATAGGAGATAAAATTGGTTAACCTTTTAATATGAATGATCGTCCATCCCTATCATCTTTTCGTCTCGTTTTTATTCGTTGACGAAAATGTCAGTAGATTTTCATCATTGTTTTTGTCACTCAAAAAGAGTTTTTATTTCATTATCGTCTCGTTTTCATCAGTGAAAATATGTCATTGACGAAAATCATGTCAACGAAATTAACACTGCATCTGAATATGCCTACTTCTGAACTATATAGTATGCAAAAAACAGTACATGAAAATAGTAGTATGACTATATATATATATATATATATATATATATATATATATAAACACTTCGCATGAAGAAACATAAAAATAGTCTTGTTTTCAATAAAAGCCTAAGAGGTTATATATGCATTCTTTACAACAACTTGCAAACAACATTCTTCATTCTTTCATATTTATTTGTATAACTCAAATATAGATTCATTCTTATTAAATCTATAAAAGTTATTCAGTAAATAGCAGTGAGTGATTCTCTCTTTTTCTTTTGTTGTTTAATTAACATTAAGGACACAAACAGCAGCAGGATTATTAGGCTGCATTCACTTTAAGACCTAATACAAGGATCTAATATACACATCTGATGTTCTCTGAACTGTTCACATTCACTCAAGACATAATTGACTGTGTTTGCATGAATGCTTACCAAAATGAACATTTTGACATAATTTTGTGTTTATTTGTCCATTCAAGTGTGATAAGACATGAAAGTGAACTCAATTCTGTACTCGTACGCTGTCTGAGAGATGGCTTCCTATGAGCGCGCTTCAGGTGTGTGCACTCAGAAAACCGGACCAAATTGAGTTCTACTTAGCAACAATGCTTTTGCAAAAATGTCGTTGACAAAAAACTATGATGAAAATTATTGCTCGATGAAATTGACACTGTCTCTGTGAGCTGTGCTTTATATATTTCTTTTAATATATTTATAAAAAAAAAAGATTTAAAGGCTGAAATTATGTTAAAAAATTTTTTTTTTTAAAAATGGTCAAAACTTTATTTGAACATGTAGTGCATGTCAGTAGATATAATTTTATGAATATTTTTTGTTAGTTTAAAATCTGGCCATCATTTTTTAATGTTTTTATTTCACTGTTTATGCAAACAAAAAGTGCATGTGCGCTAATTTTATTTGTTGGCTTTTGTCATAAAACTTGCTAAAATGATTTCAGTGTGTGTATCAGTACTTTTTAAAAATATTTCCAGCACATTTTAACAATGCCGTGTATAACAGTTTGGATTTATATTTAAGAGATTTAAGTATTGTATAACATTGGTAGCTCTCAGCCGCATTCATTTTTAAAAAGTAGCTCCCGAATAAAATAAGGTTGGAGTAGGGTTGGACAACAATTCAATATGTATCGCGATATATTTTTTTCAATAACGGTGATATGATTTTTAAACACATTTCCGATATTTCGATATACATTACCAGTGTTTCCCATACATTGATTTATTTGTGGTGTTTGATTTTGTTTTCATTTCAAAACGTGGCACGGGTGTTTTATATGAATGTATCTCTGAAGGGAACTGACTGTCTTCAGAAAAGTTTCGATGCCATTTTTATTTTAAGTAGCATTCATGAGCTGAGCTGCTTTGATTACAGCTGTTACCGGGGAAAACGATGTTTCTGCCGCTCTCAGCGCCTCCTGCTGGCAGACAATCAGTTTGCATTTTCAATAATAAGCCCGTCTCCAGCAACGTTTTTGTTGTTGCTCAATTTTTTTGTTTTCTGCTGCAACTTAGAGCACTTTTCATACTCTTTATCCTGGCTGAAGCACATTTGTTTCAATCTATAAGAATAATCAGCCTACACTACCAGTCAAAAGTTTTTGAACAGTAAGATTTTTATTGTTTTTTTAAAGAAGTCTCTTCTGCTCACCAAGCCTGCATTTATTTGATCCAAAGTACAGCAAAACACTAAAATTTTGCTATTTTACTATTTAAAATAACTGCTTTCTATTTTTTTTTTTTCAGGATTCTTTGATGAACAGAAAGATCCAAAGATCAGCATTTATCTGAAATAAAAAGCTTTTGTAACATTATACACTATACCATTCAAAAGCTTGGAGTCAGTATCATTTTTATTTTGTGGTTCATTTATAGAAATGAATACTTTTATTTAGCAAGGATGCTTTAAATTGATCAAAAGTGATGATAAAGACATTTATAATATTATAAAAGATTTCTATTTCAGGTAAATGTTGTTCAACATAATAATAAATGTTTTTTTGAGCAGCAAATCAGAATATTAGAATGATTTCTGAAGGATCAGGTGAATGGAGTAATGGTGCTAAAAATTGAGCTTTGAAATCACAGAAATAAATTACATTTGAAAATATTTCCAAAGAGAAAACAGTTATTTTAATTAGTAAAAATATACAAAATGTTACTGTTTTTGCTGTATTTTGGATCAAATAAATGCAGGCTTGGTGAGCAGAAGAGAATTCTTTAAAAAACAATAAAACATCTTACTGTTTAAAAACTTTTCACTGGTATGTTAGCCTATAGTTTGAAGTTAAAGATATTAATAATTAATAAGGTGAGTCTGAGATGTTTATTTGACAGTGATTTCACATTTCTTGTTTGTATGGAGGCTAAATACAAATAAAAGGTGAACATTAATTTATGTGCTTTTTTTTTTTTTCTTCTAAAAAAATAAATAGTTTTATAGGAAGAGGTTTCATAGACTTGGCAAATAAATTTTTCATAAGTTTGAAGGTACAGACATCTGTTGTGGGTGTTCTTGGCAGTATTTATGAAGCTTTTTTTAATAGTGTTCATATCGATATCGGAATTATATCGTATCGACCGAAATTAAGAAATATATCGTGATATAAATTTTGGCCATATCGTCCAGCCCTAGATAAGGGTTGAATCAATGGGCTTGTTCATGAACCATCCCTTGCTAAATCAATCATGAACACTCAGAATATAAGGGAAAATACCAAACTGATACATTAAGTAAGTGTGCGGCCATTTGTAACTTGATTTTTTTTTTTCTTCTAAAAAAATAAATAGTTTTATAGGAAGAGGTTTCATAGACTTGGCAAATAAATTTTTCATAAGTTTGAAGGTACAGACATCTGTTGTGGGTGTTCTTGGCAGTATTTATGAAGCTTTTTTTAATAGTATTCATATCGATATCGGAATTATATCGTATCGACCAAAATTAAGAAATATATCGTGATATAAATTTTGGCCATATAGTCCAGCCCTAGGTTGGAGACCCCTGGTCTAAGGTGTGATATCTCACCTCATCACCACTGTACTGTTTCAGGCAGTGCAGGAAACGACATGTATTGGACAACCAGAAGGAAACAGTCTCAAAGTCATCGCCTCTTTTCTGTAGAAAAACAAAACATTAATGAGAAAGGAAGATATTTTAAGACTGTTATGAAAACACAGCTGTGTTCAGTTATAACATTTTAAACGTGAATGGCTTGTGAGAGTGTATTGAGACCTTGAGGATCTTCTTGATGCTGTTGATGGCGGAGGTGAGTAGAGATCGGACTTTCTGGTCATCATTAATGTAGTCGGCATGACGCAGACACATGAAGAGGATGTATGCCGGCAGACCTGGTATCAGATTCACTGCCACTCCACGAGGCTTTAGCTCTGACAAAAACACACATGCACAAACCAGAGTCACAGTCTGTTTTTTTTATTTTATTTTTTTTATTAGTATGGTCTTACATGAACGGAACGAGTTAGAATCAAACTAATTAAATCATTTAATAGATTTATTATTTTTACAGTTACAGGTCTATGTGTCTTACCAAGTATGAGGTTTTTGACCAGTTTGAGTTCATCCTCTTTCTTGTATTCCAGCATTCCCTGGAAATCTTTCTCCCTGCGTGGAATGTTCACTGGATGAACAGGCTCGTCGGCCGTCTGTCCTGGAGACACATCCATCTGGCCACCTACAATACACAGACAAACATCAATGCATATAAACATTAAGGATCGTAAATGTAAATTTAAGATGTTCCTGAACAGAGTCTCTAAACTCAGCCTGTGACACGTACCTTCCAGATCATTGATCTTCTTTGCGAAGACTTTGAGCTGCTTCTTCAGTTTGCGGACGGTCTTGTCCTGTTTCTCCAGTTGCTCCATAAGATCCTGTCACCACGGAGACAGACATCATCATCAGACAATCACAGCAACACTATGACAAATGAGTCTCTTTGGCAGAAGGGTGAAAAATATTGAAATAAAGGGTTTATTTTAGAGAATCGGAACAAAGCAGGTCAACCAAGCATCTTTAAGCTCTGCAACAATCTGAAGATAGCAGCTCTGTCTTTCATCTGTCCATGCAACTCATTAAACAGAGAGAAAAAACAAAGTAGTAACAAAGAAATAGTAACAAAGATGGTGGGATCTCACAAAGATAAGTCACATTCCACCTCATCATCAAAAAAAAAAAAAAAAAAAAAAAAAAAAAGCTTAAAGAAAACAAAGCATATTTTTTTTGGTTGGGGTGACAGTTTTTCGTGAGATTCACCCGGTTATTGAAAGAGAAACATATTAAAAAGTGTTTGATTCACACTGCTGTGGGTTAAACAAACAGTTAGAGTTCAACGCAGCTCAGATTCTGTGCAACACACACTAGTGCCAGTTAGTTTTCTGATACATGCACACACACACTCGTACACACACGATCCTACATACAACCATCCTGCGTAACATGCTGATTCTGTAGGCTTTATACTCCTTTGGATCATCGGAGTGAAGCTCCTGTGAATGAAACATCAGATGAGCCCTCAAACACCTGGTGCAGGTGCACAGTACAGCACTCAGACCAAAATCACACTCCACGGTTTCATGAGTGAGTAAATCTGAAATAATTTATTTAGAATCACACAAAACAAAAGGGTGAGCAGCAGGATTTCTGAACTGTCTTTCCAATGCAAATACCGCTTTTGATGCTCATATAGACTCCCAGTGAAAAAAGGCATCTGGACGTGACCCAAAAATTACATTTATAGCCTACAGGCCAGTAAGATGTATTATATATATATACAGTGGTGTGAAAAAGTGTTGGCCCCCTTCCTGATTTCTTATTTTTTTGCATGTTTGTCACACTTTAATGTTTCAGATCATCAAACAAATTTAAATATTAGTAAAAGATAACACAAGTGAACACAACATGCAGTTTTTAAATGAAGGTTTTTATTATTAAGGGAAAACAAAATCCAAAACTACATGGCCCTGTGTGAAAAAGTGTTTGCCCCCTAAACCTAATAACACAGTTTTAACAGGGGGGCAAACACTTCTTCACACAGGGCCATGTAGTTTTGGATTTTGTTTTCCCTTAATAATAAAATGACGTTTTTGTGGGTGGAGCCTATCTGGTGGCAGAAAACGACAGTTTTCAAGTAGCGATCTATGGAAGCCATGGAATAAAAGAATAAAAAAGGTACATTTGAGTTTATATTTCAAAATTCTGAGTTTATTGTCGCAATTCTGAGATTATATCTCACAATTCTGATAAGGAAAACAACTCGTCATTCTCTCTTTTCCCCTCGGCTCAGAATATAAGTTTATATCCTGTGTAAGGTCTCTGTCTTGTGAAACAGGCCCCCATAAGCTGTGGATTCACCACGTGAATATCATGAGGTATCTATACCAATCACCCCCAGCACATGACTCCAATATTCTGGGTCGATTTCCTGCCAGTCATGTCGTCATCTACTCAGAGGAGTGATTAAAGATTGATCCAATCAAGAGACAACAAAGCTTTCTTTGTATCAAGGACTGAAAAGGTTCGTTCACAACATATAGAAACCACGATGTCTTGTGACCACCAATGAAATGTTACTGCTTTTGGTGCATTTTGGATCAAATAAATAAAGGCTTGGTGAGCAGAAGATAATTCTTTAAGAAACATTAAAAATCTTGCCGTTCAAAAACCTTTGACTGGTAGTGTAGGCTGATTATTCTTATAGATTGAAACGTGCATTGTAGGGATTTCCTAATACGTGAACGGACACTGCTATGCTCCTATCAGCCATCAGGAGGTTTGCTAATCATCCCAGCACATGACTCCAATATTCTGGGTCGACTTCCTGCCAGTCGTGTCGTCATCTACTCAGAGGAGTGATTAAAGATTGATCCAATCAAGAGACAACAAAGCTTTCTTTGTATCAAGGACTGAAAAGGTTCGTTCACAACATATAGAAACCACGATGTCTTGTGACCAACAATGAGTGCAACTAGTATATCCAGCAGGAAAAGGATGAGTAAATTAACTAGTGCCCTCAGGCCCGCAACACGGGATCTAGACGTGACTAACACATGACTCCCATCACATCTGCTTCCTGAAACCCCAACGGACCCGCGTCCTTATGATACAACCAAAGAAACAGAACCTTGCATGACGATTGTAAAAGACAAATCGTTTAAAACTCATAAGTAGTGAAAATGTATCAAAAAGGTCCGAGGCCACTCACGTCAACCAGGACAAGACAAAGATCTCAATGACCAAACTGATGCCCTCGCCAAAGCAGGTGCATTACACGGAGATTCCTGGACATGTCCTGCCCTCCCACCCACCCCATCAGTGGCTGCTATAACCCGCCACCAGCACGCCACTGGCGTGCAAACCCCCACCTCCTCCCACATTGAACTCTGACCTCAATTCGCCACTGATGATCTCCTCACCCTCCAAGCTTCGGATCCGACACTGCAAACTATTGCAGCTCACCTTTCAGACCCATTAACTCATCCAATTCCCACCTCCGACCTAGCCACTTACTATGACCTCCGCACTCTCAACTCTATCAAGCACATGCTGCATCTCAAAGACGGCGTCCTTTTTGCCAAAGATCCCTTGCTACCTAGCTCGTAGCTTACTTATAATAATTACTATAATAGCTTACTTATAATAATTGTATTGACCGTGGCCAAGGAAATACAAAGATTCAAGTTGTTAAAATATACTAAGAATCACAGGCTCGCTGGACGACCCTTGATTTAAAGTGTAAACTATCAGATTTGAATTCAGTTTTTATCAGGTTGACTCAGAATTTTCAGATTCGAGTCCTTTCAAAACCTGAGCTAGAAATAAAATTAATGATTAATTCCCTTATAGAATTAACGACTTAAATTACAGTTAAGTCACTACATATCCTGACTTCTGGCTTTTTTCCTCTTTTTTCCTATTGTTAAGTTAAATCGAGTTATAAAGTCCAAACTAGGAGATATAAACTTGCATTTGTGAGAAAAAAAGTCAGAATTGTGAGATAAAATAGGTAAATGTTATGTAAAATGTTAATAGTAATAGGTTTAAATAGTATTTCATGCTGTAACTGTAGGGCTAATCCAATATATGCCCTATGAACTGCATATATGAATATTATGTAGACCTATTGTTTAAATCAAATTTATGCTTTATAAGTAGAGTAATCATAGCAGTTTTCATCCATAGTCTGTCTGTTTCAACATCTGCATTTAGCTTAAAATGGCGTCTTTGATGACAGTATTCTATAAAAATTATTTGCATTCCGATTCTGATATCCTAAAAATATTTTTTCTCTTATTCCATGGATTTTACCCATTTCCCTCTACTGCAGCTTGCATTTTTGTCGGATTTCTGCATTTTTGCCCCCAAACTTGTTAACCAGAGGGTGAAAAACAATACTAAAATACTAAACAATACTAAACAATAAACAATACTAAAAATCAATAAATCTGAGGCCAGACAAAATAATCACTGTGTAACTCCAGCTGCTGTATTGCTGTGTATAAAATGCACAGAGATGGAATCAACCACAATTGGATAAAAAAATGTACAGGTAATTCTATTCTTAAAACCCGCTCACACCAAGAATCATAACTATATTAGCATACACACCAACAGATGATAACATTATGTTTATTATAAGTGCAAGCTGCTACTTTAAATGCTCAAGCTCTTTAATACTGGAAGGATTCTGATCAATGTTTTATTGGTTATCAGCTGGAAAAGAAAGTTCTGAAAGAGATCACCACAATTTCACTCCCCTATGCTGTTATCATTATAGTGTGGATTTCACTATTCTCATAGAATTAGCATGATTATTAAAACTTTATTGTTATAGTTATTGCTCTTGGTGTGAAAGGGTCTGTCGCTTTAATAAATAATTGGTCAGTTTCACGGCAAAACACGCCAAAGTGCCTCAAATGTCACCATTAAAAAAACCTAAACAAAAACAACAAATTCCGTTTTTTACGGGCCACAAAAAAATTAGACTGTGTCAAAATAATATCTTAAATATTGAACATATCTTAAATTATTTTGTTTAAATGAAAATTTTTTGAATATCTGCTAACGGCTAGTTTTGTCAACTTACTGTGTAAGAGAACACTTAAATCTAATAATACTACATTTATTATATCACAGGGTCTTGAACCGTCACCAGAAATTAAGAAAATAAACTGTTTTAGATTGTGAGGAGCTTTTTGCTGAGGGCTAACATTCATAAACTCATTCTGTATAAGGAAGTGGTTCCCAACCTTTTTGTACATTTGACCATGCTGACCCCGCCCCTCTCTCCGGAACTGCTCTCAGAGAGACTGTTTACTTTAGCCGCATCATTTACATCGTTTACTTTAGCAAGTTTCATCGTGAAACTTGCTAATTCGCACATTATTAGGAAAGGCGATTTGCAAAGATTCATTACAAAACATTATACTCACTTATTCTGTAGATGAGGCTGGATCATGAATGATTTGCTTGAACATAGACGCATTTATGTAGATTGGGGGCGCATTCCCTTCAGAAACAATGTAATCCACTGCGAGTTCAGCGGCTCAGATGTCGGGAGTAAATGACGACTGCTATGTTCATTATTACATCCAACAACAGAACACCTCAATCACTTCGGAGGTAATCATTCTTGTCTACATCTGCTCCAGCGGTGAAACAATGGCGGACTGATAACAGCTCACTCAGGGCGGGTCTAAGGTAAGACACCAGTCCAGTCTGTGCTGAAA